CAGCAAGGAAATGATCCAACAGGGAACTGAATATTATATGATACAAGCGCAGTAACAGAGGTGAAAACTAAACAACGAGTTTCAGAAGGCAAAACATACAACGACGCATCAATGGCACATAAATCAGCGTTATTCTCCAATCCTAATACCACTAGGCGAAACTACTTCTTATCATTCTCATCGATGAGTGAGATAGAGATAGAGAGGTGAAATACTTATAGATTGAGTAAAGCAAACACAATTACTTATGCAGACTGATTATACAGTACCAAGATTTGCTAATTCAAGATCATTTTGAAGCTACAACGAATCCACGAGACTATAAAGAAATGCTCACCTCAAAGACAAATTTTGTTTAAATTTTCAAGAGCATAAAGCACTCATCATTTGACAGTAATAGGAACATGCCACAAGACATGTATAATTTTACTAAGATAGAAGAAACGAGAAAGTAATCAACCACTTCAAGTGAGTAATGTATAATCTTACTAAGACGGAAGGGACGAGCTTGTTGGACAAACTTAGAACCAACTGTAACGGAGTCAAGATATATATCTGTATTCTAGAGTAGCTAAACCAATGTCAAATCAAGTCCTAGAGTAACCAAAATCTCAATCGGAAGGCAAAATCATCAATGCAGCAAAAACCCTAGTCCATACGCAATAACAAGGCCTATATTACATTTTAGATTCACCCCTTACCTCTTCTCATATACAAGATCAAGCATATAACACTGCTATTGAACACAATAAATATACTACCCTTCATTTGGAATAACATATGTATGATGCAAATAAAAAACTATCAGCAGAGAAATCACAAACTAGCAATCAATCAAAATCAAAATCAAAATGAGAGCATATAATATAGGCATAAATAAATAAATAAATAAATCCAAAATCTATTTCCAGGAATAACATAGCATTTGACTGTCGCTAATCTTACTAACAAAAACACATCAATCAACGTTCTGCATGATATCCTCAGCTGTGAACTTGGTGCCCTTGTCCTTGTCCGCAGCGGCGCGACCCTTGGCCTTGCGGTCGAGCAGAGACTTGCGGTCCTTGTCGATCCTGAGCTTGGTGATGACCACCTTGGATGGGTTGATGCCCACGTTGACCGTGGAACCGTTAACCTTCTCTCGGGTGATCCGCTCGATGTGGATGACCCACTTGCGGCGATAGACCTGGACAACCTTGCCTTCGCGGCCCTTGTAGGTCCCGCGCACCACCTGAACCTCGTCGTCCTTGCGCACCGGCATGGATCGGGCGTTGTGCTTGGCGCGAAGGGCTGAGGAGAGGGGCGCGCTCATCAACACCCGCCGCACGCTCGACGGCGCGGTGAAGTGAGCCTTGCGGTTCTTCCGCCTAGAGCTGGTGACGCGGGGATTGTACTTCATTTTCGCTCCCCTAGGGTTTGGGTAGGGTTTTTTCTGGCTGTCTTTATAAAGGGAAGATTTGAGCAGACGACGTCGTTCTAGTAGTTTTGGGTAGGGCTCGTCAATGGCCAGGCTTTAAAGAGGAGAGAGAAAATATCGGGCCGGGCCGGGCCGGGCTTTTTTAGAAAATTCAAAGCCCAAGCCCATCTCATGAGCCGGGCTTGAAAAAGCCCATCGGGCGGGGCCGGGCCGAAATGGGCCTAAAAAATAATAAGTGTAAAAAAAATAAAAATAAAAATAATTTTTTTTTATAAGGATGGTATGAATAAATATGCAAATGTTTGGTGATGTGTTAAAGAAAAGTATGATTATATTTGGTGGTATGATTATGTTTGGTGATATGATATGTTGTTTGTCTTATTATATATATAATTGTTGTATTAATAAATGACACAAATTAATGTGCTAATCATCCAATTATAAACTAGCAATGAGTAGAATTCAATGAAAACAAACACAATTTTTATAACAAGTAACACAAAAAAAAATATTAAAGAGGTACAACCTTGCCTTCGCGGCCCTTGTAGGTCCCGCGCACCACCTGGACCTCGTCGTCCTTGCGCACCGGCATGGATCGGGCGTTGTGCTTGGCGCGGAGGTCTGAGGAGAGGGGCGCGCTCATCAACACCCGCCGCACGCTCGACGGCGCGGTGAAGTGAGCCTTGCGGTTCTTCCGCCTAGAGCTGGTGACGCGGGGATTGTACTTCATTTTCGCTCTCCTAGGGTTTGGGTAGGGTTTTTTCTGGCTGTATTTATAAAGGGAAGATTTGAGCAGACGACGTCGTTCTAGTAGGTTTTCGGTCTTTCCGTTGGTCACAAACAATTGGTGATATTGGGCCGGATGAACATGAGGCCCGCATTTGGCTATGGGCTCTACTTATAAGGCTGTATAGCTGGTCTGAGGCCTTTTCGACCAAACAAAACGAAGCTGGTTTGAGGGCTAAATAGTACCATAAAGCCCACTTAAGCCTCTAATTCCAGACGACTTTCTTGTTGTCTGTCTTCTTCGGCCTCAAGCACAAAGCAACTAGCACCTGAAGGGTTGCACGAACAATAAGAGTGATGCATCAGTGCCCTTTATATTGAACCGTTTAAGATTTGTACCTTTAATTGCTTTCAATATCTCACACATTTAAGTATTTTGGGTGAATTGGATGTTTGATGTTGTGCTATAGGCTATAGCTTTATGACTCACATCATTTTGGTGTATGTATGAGTTTGATGTTTGAAGACGTGTTATATGTTAAAGCAATTGATTGTCAAATTGTATATAAACTGCTATCACATTTAAAGAAATGGTCCCATGTTAATTTCATTTCTTGGTGGAAATGATAGTTTTATTTCAATTAGTCCATGGTATAAACTATATTGGTATTTCCATACGCCTTCTTGCGCATGCACAAGAACAAAGTAAACTATATGGTAAAATGTTACTTTAATACGATGATATATATTGGTATTTCTATATGCAATATTGTTATTTTTTCTTGAATAGATATGCTGACTTATTTTAAAGGTAAATCATATATGAAACAGAATAAAATTAGCATATAAAAATAAGATTGTCACAACAAATTAATTAGAAAATACAACTTGGTCTGCTTGATTAGAACATAATTTTTGGGCTGACCTCATTAAAACTAATTTGGCATTATTACAGACAATATTGTCTCATTGTATAGAGTTACGGTCGCCTTATTGTCAAGAATATACAATAAAATGATGCTCATGTGTATGCATTCATAATAATCGAATTTAACAATAGCTTTAGTTTTTCTTTTAAATGAAAAACGTGATAAATCATTTGAGCATGTGTGGGATTGCTAGACCCATAAGTTTGTTTATGTAGTTTTGTTTTTGAGCTTCGGCTCCCTTAGAACCAAAACAAAAACAAAAATGGGATAAATCATTTGAAATTATATCAATGACTCATTTAATAAGTGATAAACTATTGATCACATAGTTTAATAACAACATGGAAACCCAATGTGACTTTGTGAATTAACACAAGACAGCTTTGAATGTTATTTTCTCTGATTCGATTAGGATATTGCTCGTTTTTGTCATCACCTTGTTTCTTTGAACCTCCAGAACATTTGTCATACGTATTAACATCTCATCAAAATCAAATGAACTACAACAAAGAAGCAAAAAAAAACAACAAACATGGATGTTATATATGGTCATTGAAATTAAAAAATGGGTATCTTCAAATGTAATAACCCTAATTATTAAATTATTTAAGTGAAAGACAATTTCACCCCAGGAATATTTTAATGAATTTAAAAGTTGACTTTTTGTTCATGTAAGAATTTGGGGATTTTAATAGTACCGTTGCGTAGAGCACGTCGAGATGAGTCCGTAGACACGTAATGAGCTTAAATCGGAGTTATAACGAAGAAGTTATGAACTACAGAAACCCAGTGACATAACCGTAAATATTTCGAAGTCAATTTTTTTTAAAAACCTAGATTTCTCTCTCTCTCTCTCTCTCTCTCTCTC